ATATATATATATATATATATAATTTATAGTATTTTCTAGATTGAAGCCGTATCGCAACATTATTCACGGCTAGCGCAGGCATGCTCATTAATATATTCGATGCTCCAACAACTAAACGAAATTCATTTCCTGTACCATTATTCTCTGGACTTTTTGCTAGAGATATTCACAGCAGTATTAGTCACTCCACAGCTTGATTCCATTACAGATTATGAACAGCGTTTAAGAATCATAGTGTCAAGTTTATTCCAAGTGAGCTGTCTCTTTCTGTTTCAAATGAAGTACCTTTTAATTGTTGCTCTTATATCACTTTTTTTAATCGCAAGTACATATATTTAGATGGTTTATCGACGGGTCTCTCTGGGTATGTTACATCAAGACAAAGTTTTGTTGGCTCTATTGCTTATGCGCATTGTGTTGAAAGGCGATACCGATGAACCTTCATATCAAATGGAGGTCATTTTTATTTCCATATATCTCGTATCTGTTGGGAATGGCATCTTTATAGTGGAATTCTATTTGATCGAAATTCAATTGCAGTATTTGCGTTTGAAATTCGTGTAGGACAATGTCGTGTCCTTATAATTTTCCGAAAATTTTTTTGAAATAATTATGTTTTAGTTGGATCATTTATTGGGTCGTTCTGAAGTTTTCGGTTCTCAAAAACTAGTTCATCACATCGAATCATTACATTACCTTAACGCGCAACAAATAGCATCATTATCGCAGTTGTCGCGTTTACCTGCTTTCACAGATGTTATGAAGAATATTGCTTCGAATGTAGAATTTGGAACTTGGGTAATTCTCGATAATCCGGAACTAAATGTGCCTGTACTTTGGGATGGCAATGACAAATTAAGTAAGTATGCTCTTGATTGAAGTAATTCATAATGGCAATTCATTTCACTTGTTTTTAATTTTATTTTTCAGTCCTGGAATTTATTTTGATTTTTTCAACAAATTTCATATCCTAATTTGGGTTTTTTTTTAGCAAAAATTGGGCGTTGCATGAATGAAATGCTTGTCATTCACGCAGCTAGACCCGACCGCTTACTAGCATCGTCTCATCGACTGGTTGCTGCTGCTTTCGGAGATGAATTCATGCAACAAGACAAAGTGGTTAATTTGCGTGATATTGTTGAAAATGAGGTAATTTACTAATGTTGATAATTTGCTTTAGAGTTGCAGTTTCGCTTTATTTCCGTTCTTTGTTTTTCTTTTTTAGGAAATCAATTTTGGTACTATTTCCTGAATGTCCAGTAATTATTACTGACACTCCAAATACCACTGTTTTTTCTTTTTGGTCTGATTTGTGAAATCTTTTCAGATTACTGCAAATCGTCCAGTCTTGCTGAGTTCGGCTATAGGTTTTGATGCGTCGGGTAAAGTTGAAGATTTAGCCGTGGAATTAGGTCAAGAAGTCACTCCGATTGCGATTGGTTAGCGCTACTTTTCAATGAGGACTACATCATTCTTGTTCTATGTCGTCTTGTTGATGCTTACATTAGTTTTAAAGGTTCCGCAGAAGGTTTTTCACAAGCAGAGACAGCGTTGAATTCGGCTTCTAAATCAGGAAGATGGATTCTATTGAAGAATGTTCACTTAGCTCCGTCTTGGTTGGCACAACTAGAAAAACGATTGCATTCTTTGAAACCACATCCTCAGTTTCGTTTGCTTCTGACCGCGGAAATCCATCCTAAATTACCTTCTCAAGTATTACGTGCATGTCGTGTTGTAGTCTATGAGCCAGCAACTGGTCTAAAAGTACGCTTAACTCATATTTACTTTGTCTCATTTTTTATTGTTTGACTTGAGCATTTTTTTACTCTTTGCCTTTATTATTGTTGTTTAGGCAAATCTGTTACGTTCTCTGAGTTCTTTGGCACCTCAGCGAATCACGAAACCACCTGTTGAACGTTCACGCCTATATTTCCTGATGTGTTGGTTACATGCAATTGTACAAGAACGAATGCGCTATACTCCATTAGGTTGGGCAAATTCATATGAATTTTCCGACGCTGATTTACGTGTTGCATGTGATACATTAGATGCTGCTGTTGACGCCGTTGCAATGGGACGCACAAATGTGTCACCTGAAAAATTACCTTGGAATACACTCCGAAACTTATTATCACAGTGTATTTATGGTGGCAAAATCGATAACTGCTTTGACCAAGTATTGGTTTACTTTGATATTTATTAATTAATTTACTGTTTTCATATATTATTGAATATGCGCAACAAATTATATCAGTTATCTCAACGCGCATCATATCTCAGTTTCAATATATCATTAAATATTGCTTATGCAGCTATTTTTAGTTACAAAAAGTCGCCCTTTTTGTAACTAAAAATTATTTATTTCTGATTGGTTATATATCTATTCAAAATCAATTTTTAAGTAATTTTTCACCTTTGTATCAAAAATTATTTGGTCCTTTTCCACTTTTTGTTCATGTCAAATATATGAAATACATAATTTTATTTATGCTGTCGAAATAATTATTTTACAGATGTTGCTTGATTGTTTTCTTGGAAAGATTTTCACTTCGAAATCATTTGACTCTGACCGTGTGCTTATCAGTAATATTGATGGCAAAGGAGCTGATCTTTGTATACCAGAAGGCAATTCGCGGGAACATTTAATTCATTGGGTAGAAAAAATGCAATACTTGCAATTACCGTATTGGCTTGGTTTGCCAAATAATGCTGAGAAAGTTTTACTCACTGTGAGAGGTATATATATTTTACTTTACCTTTTTTGCTGTGATTTCAATGAAATGATAAATATTCAGGTGAGAATATGGTTGCCAATTTGCTTAAAGTGTCTGATGAGGAATTAGCGTTCCTTGGTGACGATCAGAAGGTTCAGTCTCCTCCATGGATGAGTATTCTTGCGGAACAAAGTTCTCAGTGGCTTAAGCTGCTTCCAAAAGTAATCAACCAAATATTCATGACTTGATCATGTTGTCATCAGTTTTACAAATTTATTTTCAGAATATTGTGAAATTAAAGCGATCTATTGAGAATATCAAGGATCCATTGTTTCGTTTCTTTGAACGTGAAATAAATCATGGCATTAATTTACTGACATGTGTTCGAAGTGATTTAATGGAGGTAAGAGCATCTGTCGGCAAAACTTTTAAAGAATTTCAGTGGGTTGTTGTTAACAAAATAACTCGTGTTTCTTTTCAATATTTGTATTTTATTTTATCTTTTAAGTTTTTGAGAGTTCTGTACCATCTGTTTTTTCAGGTTCACTTGGTATGCAAAGGTGTACAAAAGCAAAGTAATCATTCACGTGAGTTAACTTCAGCTCTTAATAAAGGCCTTGTTCCAACTGATTGGTTGCGCTATACTGTGCCAAAAGTTGTGACCGTAATGGCATGGATCCATGATTTTGTTGAAAGAGTACAGCAGCTAATTAAGCTATCTGGATCTTCTTCGCTAAAGGTTTTTATGTTATATATAACTATTAATTTGAAATGACTGTAATCGCTATGCTTACAAATTTCATGCATATTATGTGTATTGATTTTTTCAGAATGAAAAAATCTGGCTAGGTGGATTATTTTCACCGGAGGCGTATATAACCGCTACGCGACAAACTGTGGCACAGTCTAATCAGTGGTCTTTGGAGGAGTTACGTATGCATATTGAAGTAGGTGTCACAGAAGACAGACCCGACACATTCAGAGTTAAAGGTACTTGTTCTTCCGCATTCCGAAAATTATTTAAAAATTTGGGTTTTAATGAGAAAGTTTCTTCATTAGTGACATAAGTTTTGATAAATGTTTGGTCAGGTCTTCGTTTGATGGGTGCGGTATGCAAAGAAAGTAACAGACTGGAGATTGTCGATGAAGTGAGCACGGATTTAGAAAATGTTGCACTGTCGTGGTCCCGTAAAGTGAGTCCTTTAGACAACATATCTCTCCCGGTGTATCTTTATCGGGACCGGAAGAATTTGCTGTTCACACTTGATTTCGATCCCATTGGAATAGAGAAAACTAATTTCTATGAAAGAAGTGTAGCCATTACATCAAATAACTCGCTTTCTTAATGATAAATATAAACTTCACAAAATTGACTATTTTTAGCGATAGAAAAGCATTTGTGTAGTATGTATATTATTCAAAAAGTATCCTGAGTAAAAGAAACTACTTTAACCAATTTTGATATAAAATGTTTTCCCTGCTTTTGTGGTTGTAGCATATTTCTATGGTAGTCGCATTTCTTATTTATTGGTTTTCATCATAGCTGAGATTTTAAAAAGGCATACTGCATTCATAGCTTTTTTTGGCAGAAATAGAGTGTACACATGGCTGCATAATGCTGCACAAATGCATAATTTGGCATTCGTGAACTGTTACTAAACGCAAAGATCATTCCGTTAAATCTCGACCGTCTCTTATTAGATAAATATATGTTGGATATCCTAGTATACAACTAACTTGTGCTGAGAAATAAGCTGAGTAATCTTCTGAAAAAAAAGTGGTCTAGAGTTTATGGTTACTGAATTGTAAGCAGCGAAATACTGTTTATTTGCTCTGTATTAGCTAAATGCATAATAAAGATGCTTTTCACTAAACGTCATGATTCTTAGCATTTCAAGAAATGTACTTTACAAACCTGATTTCAATAACACAACAGAAGAATAAAAATCATTAAGTAGTAGAAATAGATTGGGAAGATATGTCTCAATATGCATTTAATAACAGGTCTCATTTAAACTGTCGAATTTGTATAGAAATTATCAGGTATTTAAGGTTTTCATATTCTCGATATTTGTAAATGCAAGACGCCACATAAGTGTTTACGTAAGGTGTCAAGTTCAGATTAGAGAGCAATGATAGAATGATGATTCAAGGTTATGCAGTCTCATACAAAAAATTAGTAGCAGAGTTCCCGTTAACTCTGCAATAAAAGCAAACAGAAGAAACGTAATTAGAGGCACATAATTTATGAGTACGATACGTCCTCGAGAAGATTGCTGGCTCATGGACTTGGTACGCAGGAGTTCTATCAACTCATTCTACGAAGGTTTTCATGGTAGTATTAATTTTATTTGGTCAACATGACCTACACAAGAAATCAAAACTGGATAAAAAATTGTTTGCAATAGTTTATGTATGCATTGTGTATAGATACATTAAAATAAGGCAAGTCGATACAACCGTCGCCATTATAATTGAATCCCTTCGCTTTTTCAAATGTATTTTTTGCATCACACTATTCAACACAGGGTACTTTTCTGTAATGTCACATTACAGGTTGATCAAAAAGAAGCAAAAACTTATCTTACATCTTGGTCTTATAATTAATAGATCATCTGTCATGTGAAAGCTTCGTAAAATGCGTTTTTAGCATAATAAGGATTGTTGGTGTATACAGTTTAATTATTCTGAATAAAAAGATAATTGAAAACTCGCAACAAGTTAGAAATAGAAGACTTATTAAGACTTACTAGTCAAAGCAACCATTTTTCTACTTATATCTCGCATGCTCATTCGCTGACTATGGATATGTTCCTTTGTAGATATTGCAATACTGAATAAATTCCCAGTTAAATTATCAAGTACTTACTAATAAAATGGCAAAAAATGAGAGTAAATTACGAGCATTAATTGAAAGAAAAGTATTTAAAAAATGATACCTGATTTGCTCATCTAAAAGACGATCACAGCTTGATATATGCTCATTTTCTTTCAAATACATGTCACTCGCTTTCAAACGATTATTTAAATATGTGCTCTCGTTTGAGCTACCACCTAAAAGACTCTCCCTGCAACAATCATTCCAATAATGCCTTGTCCCAAAAGTCAAAAACACTAAGGACAATATTTTTCGAATTTGTTTTAAAATTTCGAAAAATTTACGATGACAACAATATTTTTAAACTAAGTAAAACAAATTTTAAAAAAAACCGTTGCAACTGATTTTTTATGTTTTCGTGTGATCTGTTATATTCTGTACAATAGTCACGAAGTATTTCACGATGCCTTCTAAGAGTATGCTGCAAGGCTTGACCAGATGCCCACGCACCAGTTCTGGAATTGGCTTGACATTTGACAATATGTTCCGTCATCTGAAATTTTCACTGTAACCTTTAAGCACAGCTAAACTAATTATAGTGTGGAAGTTTTATTTGCTCAGAAGGTGTTACCTATAATGATAAACATTAAAACTAAACATTTCCTGCTCCGCAGCAAAACCTTGCATTTTAGTAATGTGGAGGATTTGTTAATTATTATTGTATGACTTTTTTTCACGAAAAAAACAAGGCCATTTATTTCTTAGATCTCATTATAGAGGAAATCAAAAAAGTGCTAAGCTCGGTAATTAAATTTTCGATTAAAAAAGTCTGAAACTTATTTCAATTCGAAATTAAAGGCATGGGAAAGTGCCCTCAACAACAGTCATCTATTTTTCTGGAGAAACTGGTCTTGCACAGCCGATCAAATCTGAATACATTAAACTTATTAAATCCAGAAAAATAAAAGGGGAGTACTCACCTGATCATTTACCTGTGTCAGCTTAGCAATCATGCCTTCGATTTCTGTCGACAGTGAATTAAATACATTCTGTTTACTACCCACAGCTGCTTTGTCGTTAAACATCGATTCATACCGCCCTACAAAAATGAGTAGTAAGTTTTTAAGGAGTATGTAAAAATCACTTATGGTGCAAATTATTAAGCTCAACACTCTGTAAAATTAAAAAACAATAACTTGATGCCTACTTCAAACAGGAAATGAAAGTGATATCAAATGCTAGAATAACCAATAAGTAGTGAAAACGAAGTACTAACTGTCACCATACCAGATATGCCGGAAGCTAGCTTATTTAAGGCTACAAGCTTCACATCGATATGGCTTTCAAGTGAGCGAGAGTGACGTCTCAAATCTGCAAAAAGAATCACTTGAAAGACTCCCTTACAACAATTTACAACTTACATATATGTCGCCATATCAAAAAATAGTAATATTAGTGAAGACATTACTTTGTGATTTAACAACTAAATCCGTCCTAATTCACTGATGAACCTAATACATTTCTACTGCACATACTAATCGCAATGCATGCCAATCTCAATATCCAGGTGATGGGCAATTAAACAACCACTAAACATATTTTAAAAAAAGAGGTCGCATACCTTCCCAAACATCGACCATAGCCTAATAATCCAAATTTTATGAATTCAGAATCTAAAATACAGAAGGTAGAAAATAGTCTTAGAATGATTTATCGAACTTTCAATGAGTATAATTTAAAACATGCTCGCGACCTATCGAAATATTGCTTAGTCTGATACCAACTTCTAATATGACATTAACAAAGCCAATAAGTTAATAATACAACGTCTCAAACTGATAAATATTGAGATGAATAAGACAAAATTCATTTTTATTCACCTGAAACATCACAATTTGTAGATGAAATAAACAAAGACATTTGACAAGACTCCGTAAAACATACAACTTTGTGCAAAATATACCAAATTTTAATCAAAGAAAAAACCATTATACTGGTAAGATAACAAAGAAGCAGCGAAATAAAGCTAAACTTGCCTTCAATCAAATTATATTACGAACAAAATCGATTCATGAGGCGACATTTTAAACAATATTAACTACCTAAAAAATGAGGAAGGTTTTAGGCAGGTAATCAAATCTGAGATCAGTACATCTACGAACTCAGATCGAATATTTGGGCAAATAAGCGAAAATGAAACAATTCTCAGATCTTTGTCAAAAAATATCACGACGAATATTTCTTAACGTTGAATATCTCCAAAAAGCTGATGAAAGCGAGCGAAAGCGATCTTCTCCTCATTAAGAATTAGTCATTGCAATCACAACATAACTTTTTGGATTCCTTGAACAATTCGGCATATGTTTTCCCATTATCATTAATATCATCAATCTAAATGCTCAAAATGTGAACACATTGAAAAGACTTAAAACCAACATTTTAAATTCATGAATAGCAGAAATAATGAAACGGTGACTTTATTTAAGAACTGTTACAAACCATCTGTTGAGGTGATGGGTTGAATTCCAAATATTCAGCTACAAACTGCCTCTGTTCTAAACCCGAAGTAAAATGATTTCTGCTGAGAGATTTGTACACTTCTAACTTGTTCGTTTTATTCAGTGCAGTCACTAGAACAGGTGATTTTTAAATTACCGATAGTTACAATGAAAGTAGCAGTTTATAACAAAGAAATTAGACTGTTTATGTTCTATCTTGAAAGTTAAAATACTAGATGAAAATAAGTGAATGCTATGAAGTAATAAAAGTGAGATCAATAGTTATTATGAAAAATATAAAGATGGATAATGCTTTATAAGTAAAATAATATACAACCACGAGAATTATATAGCTTAAAATGATACCGTCGAAACCTTTTGAAGACAGTTTGTTGATAAATCTGGCAGAAAGGCAGTCTACGATAAGAACGTTGTCATGAAACACAAGTGGAAAAGAAAGTTCATCACGTAAAGTTTTTTTTTCTTTACTGCAAACATGAAGTAAAACGTCAAAAATTCTATGATTATTCAACAACAGTATTATTAATTAAACGTTATAAATTTGATAAATTCTCAAAATCCAATTGACTAAGTTTGTGAAACCGAATATAGCCCACAGAAACTTATTAAATAAGATACAGTAGAGAACAAATAACTCATAATAACTTTTAAAATTTAAGAACATTTCAAGCAAGCAACTGACAAAATAAACACCTACATTACTAACATTATTCGTATTCATTAATTTCGACTTTTAACTAAATGCAAGCTCGTATAGCTATAATTTAAAACTTTTGAACTGCATATGTGAAAATTTTCAAAATTTTTTATTCCGTAACAGTACATATAATGTAGCATATTTCATTAACTAAGCCCTTTCGATTTCAGAAATAAGAAGGAAAGCTACCACACATCGTAACATATTTTCAGCCATTCATGATAACTGAACACATCCTATATTTCACTTTTTTATGGATATGGGACACTTAGATTCCACTGTCATATCCGAACAGGTAGGTATGATCGTTAAAATTCTTTAATTTTTCGAAAAAATGCAACAAAGCTCTAAGTTATAACGTACCTAATAACTAAGTCATCATCATCACCACCATCATACGGTTCTAATTCGTCATCACTGATATCGACTAACTGGCTTGAATCCATAAGAGATGAAAGTTTGAAGGGTTCTGCCGAATTTTCTACAATTTATCAATACAGGAGAAAATTTTGACATAATTTTGAAATCAGTTTAAATCGATGATCTCTGATTTAGAATTGTAAGATAACAATTAGTAAATTCAAGCAGAAAACTATTACCACGTTCGTCTTCAGAAATCTGATCACAGCGAAATTCATCTTCGGACACTAGACTCAATTCACCATCTTCTTCTACAAGTGATCCAACTTCGCTCTGCTTCGTATCTGACTCATCAGAAATCTCTTCAGTGACCAACACTTTTGCCTTCTTGTTTGGCGGAGTTTCCTTTTCTAAAATTTTGTATCCAGAACTTTTTACGTAAATCAGGACAAGAATGCTTTCCAACCATGAAAATTCACATTGAGCACAAATCCCATCTTTGTATTTCAGAATTTTCGGGTTTCTAAAGATAAGTCCGTCCTTACATTTCAGTATCTTCCTTTCAGAACTACTGGTCTACTTACAACAAACAACCAGCAAATACTCATTTCTATAACTCTTCAGTTATAACACATAAAACTTCGAAAATGTAAATTACTGATAAGAAAGATCCACCAATTTTCTTAACAGTTGCTAAATAAAATTGAAAACGTATAAGACTTCAGTTTTGTCTAGCAACCGTCAACAAAAATAACAAACATAGTACATTCTGGAGGGTTCATAAAAAAAATTGTAAAACTAACGATGCTCACAATGCATATCAAAATTCTTTCTTTAAAATATTCTAATTTGTAATACGTTTACAACGACTTCTAATATCGTGAAAATAATATATTTACAAATTTTACCAACGCAAAAACTCGAAAAAATACAGATCACTGGGTTTTCAACAAAACTAATATTAGCTTAGTGGCATGTAGTCGAAAATACATGCACAAGCTAATGTAATTAAAGCGAAATATTTACCATCTATGTTTAATCAAAATAATTTAAAATCTTCTGTAACGAATGCCTTATCTTTCTTATAAAATATTAAAAGAGATGCTAAGAAATTAAAAAATTAACAACGTAAACAATAACTTGACAATTTAAAAAAATAGTTTTCATCAACTAGGAAAAAAAGTAAGTTACTGCAGATGCAGTCTCAAGATGTGATTCATCACTGATTTCTTGCTATTCGGAACTTTAAAAAAGTGATCTAGAAGAAGTTACTAAAAAATTAGTAAACTGTATATATATAAGAAAGGGAGCATGTTCTGCGAAAAATTGCACGATGTAAACTGATTTTCGCCAAATTATATTGAAATTTCATTCTTAAAAACAAAAATTCTATAAAATTATTGTATGACATAAAACTGTCCCATGAAAACACTGTTATTTCAATAAAATATAACAAGTTCTGAATTTTACAAGTCATTCAACTCAAAGTAAACACTAATTAATCTGGTGAATTTACAATAACAAAGAAAAC